GCCCCGCGAGGAGCCCCGGCGCGGCGCGGGCGCGTGGCAGCCCTCGGGGGCGGCGGGCAGCAGGGCCCCGCGCCGGCCCGACGACAGGCCGGCCCCGCCCCCGGCACGCCGCGAGGGCGAGAGGTGGTGAAGTGGTGATCCGTGTCGACGTCAGTGCCCCGGGGCCGAGACAGGGGTGGCGGTGCAGTGGCACACCGGAGTGACTCCCTGCCGCGTCAGGTCTTGCATCTGCCGGGGCGTAGTCTGTCGATGCCTGCCGCATGCATCCCATGCAGACGAGTCGTGCAAGGCTCTTCAAATTCTGTAGTCAAGTGCCAGTTACCCCAGAGCAAGCCAGCTGGCAACAATGGAGGGGATCTATGAATGGACGATGGAAGCAGGACGCAGCAAGTCACTGCATGACAATGAATCTTTCGGTGGGAAGCACTGCTGGCACGCCCATGATACTCAGGCTGTGCACAGGGGGTGACGCAGATGGTCGCAGGAGTGACCGCCGCACAGCAGGCCGCCATTTGTATTCAACCTTGGTCGACGCCTTTGTGCTCCCTGGCACCCTCCAGACCTCTGCCGTGACCCTGTCAGGCGCCCGCCGATTCGCCCTTCTTCTTGGCCACGCTTTCCCAGTACACGGCGTGGTCGGCTGCGGGGTTGGAGGGTGCCTCCAGCGACTGGCACTCAAGGCCGAGCTCAGCCATCCGGGCCTTCACCGCCTCCTCCAGCTCAAACACCCCGGGGTCATCCATGCCGAGCTGCACACAGATTGGTGGAGGGTCGTGACACAAGGATGTTTGGGGCCTCCGCGGTGGGTGGGTGTGAAGAAGGCACCATCAATCCTGGCCTCCCCTGGCAGGGCAGAGTTGGTCCTGTGCATCCACGCATTCACAGCACCTGCTAGAGTAACGGAATCCTGGTCACCGGCGACTTCTCTTCTACCCCCTGCAGCCCACAAGGGAAGTTCCCGCCCCTCCTTCAAATCCCACCATGCGCAGCCCGTTGGCCAGGCGGAAGAGGTACACGTGGTTGGGGCCGGAGGGGCCTTCGGCAGTGGCCACGGTGTGCGCCAGCGTGGCCAGCGGCGCCGGGCCCAGGTAGTCGGGGTTTGACCCCGGGTCGGAGCCCGCGATGTACACCAGCGCGTCCTCCACCGCCGGTCGGGCGTCCCCGGGGGCGGCCCAGACGGATACGTGGCGCCGGATGTCGTACTGCTTCTCCCGCCACTCCAGGTAGTGCAGGGTGCGCTCCTGCTCCTCGTGGCTGCCCGCCAGCTCGTAGGCCACGCCCCACTGTGCAGTGCAGGGGGAGCGGGGTGGAGATGACTGATAAACGGGTGCGTGGAGGAGGCGGGAGCGCTGCAGTCCCCCTTGAGCAACCTCGATGTTTGCAACACTGCTCTCCCCACTGGAATGTGCGGAGCACACATCCATCCCAGGCGGCCAGGCCACCCACCCCTCAACCACCACGCACGGTGACGGCTTCTGGGTCCTCATGCAGGGTTGCCACGCGGCCTGGGGCTCCAGGATGGCCCCTGTGGTCTGTGGAGCCCTGCCAGAACACCCTACGGTACCCCCGGATGAACCCCTCCACCCTGCCCTTGAACTCGAAGCCGGGGCTGTGGACGAGGCTGCCAAAGCCTGACCAGCCGGAGTGAGGGGACAGGCTTTTTGGAATTCTTGCCTCCACATGCAACAGGGCTTTTCAGGCAGCCATCCAAGAAAGGCTTGCTCACCGAATATCCATATGGAGCCAGAGGGCACAGCCGAGGGGGCCGCCACGGTCATCACAGCGCCGCGACTCGGAGCGAATACGGCGATCGGTCAGCTCCTTCTGCAATGATGCAACCAAACAAACGTGGTGGGGTCGCGCCGACGCCATTCACTGCCCAGCAGAAGTGTATGGTGTTCGAGTGATCATGGAAACCATAGCCCGCACTATTTCCACGCACCATCGCATGGAGCGAATGCCGGACACAGGCTGCGCAACGGTTACAATCTGGAACAAGGTTTTTCAAAGGATGTACACACAGAGGCGCCGGATCATGCCAATTTTTGGGGGTCGCGTGCGACATGGGTGTACTTGACGCCCTGGTCCTTGTTCACGACCTGGCCCGTGCCCCTGAGCACAAACTTGGTGGTGAGCAGGCCCTCCACGCCCACGGGTCCACGGGCGTGGATCCGCCCCGTACTGATGCCCACCTACAACAAGTTTTTGGAAAGGTCGAGGTTGGATTCAGGGAAGGGCCGGGGCCAGGTGCAAACCAATTTCATGCACACCGGTGAGAGGAATGCGTCTGCCTGACCGGCACCCACCTTGCCCCCACCAGCACCCCACCCCCTCCGCCCGTCGTCAGCCCACCCACCTCTGCGCCCAGGCCGTATCTAAAGCCGTCCGAGAAGCGGGAGGAGGCGTTGTGGTGCACACACGCCGCGTCCACCAGCTGGAGGAAGGTGTCAGCAGTCGCTTGGTTCTCTGTTGGAGGGAAATGACGATATACTTGGAAGTCCGTCACACCTGCCCTTGTCCATGCTTCAGCTTATCAAGCTCCCCATGCGCACCGTGCCAGCGACATGATAATCCAAGCGCCCTTGCTGTGCACCGGGGCTCTCCATTCTCCTCCACCACCCCCTTTTCCCCAAAGTCTCCCCCACCTCCTCCCAACCCCTGCCTCTCCTCAACCCCAACTCTGCTACCTGTGACCACCACCTCGGTGTGGGAGCTGCCGTGGGCGTGAATGTGGTCGATCGCGGCGGCCAGGTCGTCCACCAGCTCAAACCCGACGTCCAGCGAGGAGTATTCGTGGCGCAGCGACGCCGCCCTTTCCAGCCCGTACCGCTCGGCGGCCCGCGGCCCGGCGTGCACGGCCACGCCAGCGCCCTTCAGCGCCTCCAGCAGCTCCCGCGCCAGGCCGTCGGCCAGCGATGCATGCACCAGGATGGTCTCGGCCGCATTGCAGGCGGCGGGGTAGTCGGCCTTGGAGTCCACGGCGATGGCCAGCGCCTTGGCCGGGTCGGCCTCGGCGTCGACGTACACGTGGCAGATGCCGTCGGCGTGGCCCAGCACTGGGATGCGGGTGGAGCGCTGGATGTGGGACACCTGCGCGAGTGGTGATGGAGGGTGCGGGGATGGAGCGTTCAATGGTGGAGTGGGGGGTGGGAGCACGGAGGCAAGGCGGCGGCATCATTAAGGGCAGTGCCACCCACTCTCCCCCCGCCGGGGACGCGCTCCCCTTGTCCCCGGGCCCCAAGCAAGGGGCCACGAAAGGCCACTGGCTTGCCCGTCCCATCCCAGCCCCCACCAAATCTCAAGCATGAGCCTCACCAGGGCGTTCCCGCCACGGGGGATGACAAGATCAATCACGTCATCCAACTTCAGCAGGGCATCAATGTCGTCGCGGGAGGTGACCAGGGAGACGAGGCCGGAGCCCACGCTGGGGGCCCTGGCGTCCAACACCTCGCTGATCAGCCTGTGGAGGATGGCGTTGGAGTGGGCCGCCTCCTTGCCCCCCTGCGGAGCGGCATTTGGAAGGGTGGTCGAGATGGGGATCCAAAACTCAGGCGGCAACCAGGCGGGAGGGAAGACCATGCAGGATCCCTGAGTGGCATCTGGTGAATACCACGTTTCCCCAGGCAGGGCAAGTGCAGCCGCCCTTCAACTCTGGAGCTTTTCAGAGGCAGTCACATCGCCTTACTGCAGCAAGACCAGACTGGCCCGAAGCCCCCCCCCCCCCCCCCCCACAAAAAAAAAACAACACACATTTCTAC